AGTAAGGCCAGAAGCAATTTTTTGAGCATGGGCAGCTATCGCGTTTGCCTTACGCTTAAAAAACGTAACTCGATTGGGCGACGAAATCTGAGGAGATTCTGGGGTCGACATTTTATTTTATTAGCTCACAATATAAACTGCAGCCAACAGTTTGACATGCACTGCAGATTTTTCTTTGTACCGCAATGATGCCCGCACACAAGCGAAATTATTTTGTCAGAGTTACTGCACAAAATAAGCGGGAAGCGAATTCGAATAGCTGTTACCGACGGCAAATGAACAGCAAGCAGGAGAACGAGAGCAAAGAGTACACGCCAAAGTACCGGTGCATATATGTGTATGTATGTATGTACGTTTGCCTAGCGCGGCGCGGCAAAGTACAGCCACAAGCAATGCACTAAACGAAATTGTTTACGCGCTTGGCGCAATTATTAAACCGAAATGTTTAATGTTTTTACTAGCCAAGATCACGTCGGGGTCACCAAATGTTGAGCTATTGAAAAAGCTCATTAGCTCAACAAACTATTTTGGACATGCTTGTAGCTTTGGCGCCACATTTTAAATTTCATTTTTCAATTGTTCCTCGCCAGTTTTGTTTACATTTTTCGTAGTGTTGGTTAAATTTTCACTGTTAAGAAGAAGAAATTAGAGTTGCACCGAAAAACTATCGCCTACCTTTCGCCAACAAACCGTTGTTAGACTTAGATGCGTTCTAACCGCGGTCCATTTGAGAAAATTTGGAATGACAAACCATATCGGCAGTTAGTTCAACGAACGGTAAATGCGCTTTGACGGTGTGTGGGAAGACCCTATTAGACTAGTTTGCGTAGAAACGGACGGACGGACATGGCTAGATCGACTCGGCTGTTGATGCTAATCAAGAATATATATACTTTATAGGGTTGGAAACGTCTCCTTCACTGCGAATATCTACTCGAGGTTAATTTAATGGGTACATTATTGCCAAAAAAAATTATCTATGTTTTGGTCAAAGTACCTCTTATTGTCTTGTACAATTTCTGAAAATGATGTAGAATATTCTTGCTGCTGTATCTCTTTTTTTTTTTAGTGCCAGGCTGATATATAATTAAATCAAACTCTACAGCATGACAACATCATCTGATTCGCAATTTGACAGTTGGGAAAATTTAAAAATGTGCAAAGAAATAAGTTTGGCAATTATTATATTAAATTCATTAACTGAGGGGTTTCTACAGTTACCACCTTTTTCACGAACGCACGCAAATATATTTTCAAGCGGATCCTGGTTAACTCGACTAGTTGAAAAGACAAAGTGATCCGTGTGGTCCTTAAATAGATCTATGATTAGTCCAAACATAGCTTCATTAGTTTCACGTTCGTTAGGTAATGCTGCATTTCCTTCAGTTTATTTCAAACAACATTATCAATTTAAAGTGCGCATTTCAAAGGGGTTTTTGTCAGTTAAAACTCAGCTATTCAAGCAGTCAAAGTAATCATTAACTCTTTGGACAAATGCAGCAGTAGCAGGACTGTCACTTTGAAACTATTTCGATGGAGTTGCTTGTTTTGGCTGCAAGCCTTAATTGCCGATGCAACAGTATGACAGAGTGTCTGGGTTGCCAAACCTACCCGCATAATTTAGTAATTCTCGTTATTGATTCCTGTTTTAATCCCTTTCAAGATTGGCTTTTAGTAAATTATTTCTTTAAGATTTGGAAAGATGCGGAATGCCATTAAACATATAATATTTTTTATTATTGAAGATACTTTACTTTAAGGCTTTTTATTAGTGACATCAAGTAATGAGGTACATTTTCTATTATTGCATCTTTAATCGTACACGACGCCTATTACTATGAACCCAATATTTTCAGCAATGTTATTATTCTTATAAATAAGTCTTTTCAAGCACAAAATAGTTTAATATAATTAATTAATATATATATATATATATCTTAATATATAAAAATCTCCTGTCACTATGTTTGGTCGCTATAGACTCCCAAACCGCTTAACAGATTTCGTTCAAATTTGCAGGCAATATGCAGTTTGGTTCAACTTGAGAGATAGGATAGCTTAGATCTTTTTCATCATGGCAGTTTCGGCAGGACAAGGAGGAGAATCGTCTTTTTTTATGCATTCCGCCGAAACGGCTTTACCGATTCTCATGAAATTTAGTGTGCTTATTTAACCAAATCTTTATGCTTTGCTCGGGCTATTTTGTCGATGAATTTGCACAAAATTGGTCGAGTGGTTCTTCACGTATTACATATTCTTTAAGAAATTATTTCAATAAATCGCATTTCGTCAGATTGTCTTTTCTATTATTGTCATTTATCATTCATAATTATTGTTTTGCGTTTATAAGTGGTGAGTCTCTAAATTCTCATTTTCAATACATTAGAAGGTACGATATTATTTTCAGTAAAATGCCACCGAAAAGATCGAATCTCAACAACGTAATCAGCAGAGTGGCACGACGCAGACGTTTCGAAAGAGCTCATCAGTTTCCAGAACAAGTCAATACAAGAAATACAGCTCAAAGAATTAGGACAGCAGAAGGTCGTGCACAAGAATCCCAGGAACAGCGTAGCGAACGTCTGCAGCAGAATATTACGAGAATCAGGGCGGCTCGAGCTCGAAACATAGATATAGTACGAGCACAAGAACGACAAAGGCAGCGGAACAGTCGCTCATTAGTTCGTACATCATTCGTTCAAAAATTGCTATCGGTGGAATGGACAAAGTATGTCAATATTGTCAGGCTTTTAAATTTCGGAATGAAACGGCCGGTATGTGCTGCGCAGCAGGAAAAGTCGTGCTCTCTACCTGCTCCGCCAGAACCTTTATTAATACTGTCTTCCCACACAGCGCATTTGTGAGGAACGTTTGGGATTTTTCACAAATGTGAAACTCGTGTTCCCACACAACATTAATACGGTCTTCCCACTCAGCGCATCTGTGAGGAACGTTTGGGATTTTTCGCAGATGCGAAACTCGTGTTCCCACAGAGCGTCAAAGTGCATCTGGCATCCGAACAGCTGATCGATCAGCTGTGGGCTCATGAAAACGTAAACAAAGACTGTCGAATTGGCAGTTGCAAATTTAAAATGGAGCATTTACCAACTATTTTGGCTGTTGTACAACAGGAAAAGGCACAGATTGCGTCAGAATTTATCCGCACTAAATTTAAATGAATTAAATGACAAGGAATTTTAGTTTTTCTTATGATTTTTCTCTAACAAAGAGCAAATTCCCCGAAGTGTGTCTATAGGTGGTATAGGCATCCAAAATATTCAAAATAAGGTAGAGGCAGGCGGTTTATATTAAATAGTAACAATTGGGGACATATTGGGGCAAGAATATACAGAAAAAACGCCAACAACTATTTTGGACATTCTTGTAGCTTTGGCGCCACATTTTAAATTCCATATCTCATTTGTTTCTCGCCAAGTGTGTATACACTTTCGTAGTGATGGTCAAATTTTCAGAGTTGCACCGAAAAACTATCGCCTAACTATCGCCAAACAAACGGTCGTTACATTTAGATGCGCTTTGATGCATGTCCAATTGAGAAAATTCGGAACGGCAAAACCTTATGGACCGTTTGTTCAACGGATGCCAGATGCGCTTTGACGGTGTGTGGGAAGACCCTATAACTTGGCTATTTTTCAACACATTTTTAAAATATGGCCACTTTAAAATATTTTTCTAATTTCGTTTTTATTTTATGAAAATCGGACTACTATATCTTAGCGTTGCCATAGGAACGATCCGGAAATTAATAGAAAAAAATTATAACTTTGTTGTTTTCAACGTATTATCATCTACTCTGAGATATGAGCTTTTTTAATTATTTCAGAAATTTTGTATAAATTTCATGCAACTCGGACAATTATACCATATGTTATAGCTGCCATAGAAACGATCGGTAGATGTATAGAAAATGTAAAGCTGGGAATGTAAAACTGTAACTATCAAACTCTCTTCGGCGTGCCGAAGTTAGCTTCCTTTCTTGTTTTGTTTATATTTAAGCCAACACACATGTCGTTCGTGCTTGTTCGCAAGGGATCTTAGACGGCAGCGACTGCTGCTTTAATAACCAAATAAACTAATTACAAACCTTCTTATAGCCATAAACCAGTAAAGTTAGAATCAATTTATCGGATGAAAAGTAAGTGAATCCGGAGTTAAGTACATACTACATACAATTTATTTTATTCAGTAAATATTTCTATTGGGATATTCCGCAGATAAATATTAAATGTATTAGTATTGTAAATTTCATAGTATAATTTTAATTTACGATTTTTTATGACCTAATATTATTTCTTTAACTAAATCGAGACATTAACCCTGTAACTGCAATGTTTTTATTATTCATATTAAATAGTCAAGAGACGAAATGGTAAAAGTCCCAACTTAAATGTGTCTCGTGCTGCGAAAGAAGTAGGAAAAATGTATATATATTTTCGAACTATTTATGCCAGCGCTACGCTTGGTATTCATCTACATATATATGTAGATATATATATATATATATATATTATTTCAGCTTACATTTTAATAGCACAGATAGTTATAGTTAATTAGTTTTAGATTAAGCGTTGTTCAAATAAACAATTACAGATTTGTAAGCTTTCCATCAGTTTGTACATTTCGGGTAATCGAACCCTATGGAAACGATCAATAGATTTTTGAAAATAGGCATCATACACATTATATGGATAGACATTTACAAAAGCATACGTATAAGAAATGAGGGCCACATATTTTCCATAGTCTGATTACAAATACTTCTGTGTCAGGGATATTAGAATATCATTAGTTATTATTTACTTTTTTCCAGTAAGTAATTTTGATTTATAATTTAATGCTTCGACTATATATTCATACTAGTTGATTTGTATTTAGTAAAACATTCAAGTACGGTGATATTTTTACGATTGTTTTTAATTATATATTAAATACTCTTAATGTTCTAATTATTGTTACCATTGTGGATGTGATGTGTATGAATGCGCGTAGGTGTAGATTTGTGTATATCTGTACTGAGTACTTTAAGTATGTCTTTATGAGTGGGTATAGTAATGAGCCATATTTGTGTTCATAGGATGCTTTGTTAAAGAAGTTTTTTTTTTATTTTTAAGTTTCTCTTTTTTTCGATTTTTTTTTTTTTTTTTGCCTTGATATATGAGCGTGCGTTTGTGTGGAGCTTAGCTTCATGTTAATGTGTTTCAAATGGTTTTAATTCATTTTTGTATTGGTCCATTTTCCTAGTGGTTGCAAAAAGCGTCGTGAAAAAATGTTGAAATTTCCCCTAAATAGAACGTTGTGTGATCGAGAACAACACACGCTGGTCGAGAGTGAGAAAGCCTTGCGATTTAAGTACAAATGTGATATGCTACAAGAAAATCATTAAAATTTCTTTAATGTGAAATGTCTCTTTTGATGGCCTTTGAGCTGGTATGATATGAATCGAATGCCCATGACATTGACAGTTCAACAATATGTATTTGGGTTTTACGTAAAATAAAAAGAATCAGTTTAATTGCCCACAATATGTTCATGTCCTTCTATAGAAATTTCCGTTATAATTATGTATATGTATCTACTGGGCGTGTGCATATTGCTATTGTGATTAAAATAAACATGAAATGGTTAAAAACGGTGACCGTAAATAATAATTATCACTGTTTTCTTTAAACAAAAAAATCATACACTTGGAAAAGACAATTTATACCAATCGGCTACAATTTGAATGCTCTTTCAAGATAACCAATGATTGCTGAAATCTAGATTTGTATATATTAAACCAATTTTAATTGTTTATTTTTGATCCGAATTTCGCTTAATGTGTTTTTTGGTTCGTCTGTTTTCGATTAATAGGATCGGGTAAAATTTTTTTTAAAGAAACCTCTTAGAAAGAAGATAATACACATTGAGGTAAATTCTGAGCAAAAAGATATCGCTCAAAAAATAATCATTATTCTTTGACCGATATTTTTTCGCTCAAAATAATAATAATTATTGTTTGAGCGAAGTAAAGTAAATAAAATTATAATTTTTAATGGCAAGCAAAATATATTAAAATCAATAAAACATTATTTTTTTTCACTTGTAATGATTAGATGCCCTGGCTAAAAATAAATGAGTGAGATTTTTATGGGTAAAAGTAAAAATAAATTATGCTTTAAGATTATCATCTTATCAAGAAATCATAAATTGACAGTTGTTCCATAATTGCCTTTCGTAAAGACCAGTTAACAGAACCTATTTTATGAAATAAAGGAATAAGGAAATTGAGTTATTCGAATTATGAAGTGTTTATCCTGTTTGAATGATTTACGATTGCATTTTATGAAACAAAATTGAAATATTTAGAAATAAAAATGGATCGCTTAATTAATGGTAAAAATGTAGCCTTTATTTTGCATTATATAATTGAATAAATGAATAAATTTGTTGTTGCATGTATACTACGTCTTTAATGATCTTCAGTTTCCAGTTAATGATAAACTGGAGCTGATTTTGCCAAAAAGTATTTGTTCTGATAACACGCTAGAGATTTGATTTGCGGTTGGTGTACACAAATTTGTTGCTTGCTGTTACAATACCGAATAACTTAGTTATCAAAATTACCAAAAAAAAAAAAACCCGCTGGAAATTCTCCACTACGCCTAGCTTCTCTTTATAGTCCTTGCCTTGCCGTCTGTCTGCTGGAAAGTCTTCAGCATTGAATTTAGCTTTATTCTCTTAAACGATCACTAATCGGTTGCTTCGCTCCTGGGAAAGAATTCAAGAATGTGTTAATACAGAAAAACGATGTTTAAATAGTTCTGAATTAAAAATTTAAGTTTTTATTTTTCAAAATTAAAATGTATACGGTTCCACAAGCTCGGATGCAAATCAACATAAACGTATGGGATGAGCTGGTCAATGTGCTTAAAATAATATCACAATAACTTGTTTTTCCGGCATTTTTCATAAATTATTAACACTTTCAATTGCCTTAATTTGTAAACGCTAAAGAAGCGATTAAAACTAAAAGAGAACTTAGAATATAATTGGAAAGAGGGAGTGAGCGAAAAAGTATAATTTCAAATAATGGGAGAACTTGATCCAGTGATCAGTGTGGCGCTTAACGCTGAGATATCAGAAACACCTTTGGACAAATTTGTAAATACTTTATAGTCGTAGTAAGTGAGGTATGCAAAGAATAGTTGGAAACACAATTTGTCTACTTACATTATCAACACAATACAGTGTCATTACATAAAATTAAAGAAAATTAAATGTTGCAGTGTATACGACTAAGAGGCAAAAGCAGCAGAGAGCTAAGAACAAACCTGAAAGCTTTGGAAAAACTTGTCGTGACTCAGCTTCAGCAGCTTTCGTTTTTAAATTCTTATTGACTTGTCGGTTCAAAAATCAAAAGGATAAACACACACATCTCCGGTACCCTGTTGCATCCGTAACGGCCCATGCTTCTGCTCCAGATGTACACATTCACCACGCACCTCGCTTTTATTTGGCATAGTTTTCGTTTTTCGTTTTTTTGTGGGTTTTTTCGTGGTAAGTTTTTCAAGTTACTCGGCTTTGGGGTGCACTTGCAACTCATCTCTAGCGCTTGCGCTGTGTCATACAAAGTCCAGCTCGGAACGGGTGCTGTACATCTTGCGTTCCATGGTGCGCTCAAACCACTTCTTTATTTCGGAAACCACCAGCACGGAGGAGGTGAGCGAGACCAGGAAAAATATGTCGTAGGGCGTTAGGGCTTCTGTTTGAAAGACCATCTGGAGCGGTGGGAAATAGACGACCAGCATTTGGCCGACAATTGAAAAGCCGACGGCAAGCAGGAACATGCGATTGGTAGTTAGGCCGATGGTGAAAACACTCTTTGTCTGCGAGCGGCAGGAAAGAGCATTAAACATGTCGAAGAACACGAAGCACGTGAAGGTCATTGTCGTGTCTCGCTTGGTCTTGCCCAGCGTCCCGTCTGCCATTTCTCGTTGAAACACCCAGAGCGTGCCCAAGACTATTATGCTGGCGCTTAGAAGCACGTTAACCACCACCGACTTGGTTATCATGGGCTGCTTTACATTGCGGGGCTTTTGCTTCAGCACGTCGTGGTCCACGGGCTCCACGCCAAGTGACTGTGCTGGGGGGCCGTCCATTATGATGTTGATCCACAAAATCTGCATAGCGTTCAAGGGGTTGGCAATGTCCATCAGAGTAGCCAAGGCGATGAGGGCCAGTGCAGCGATTGAGGTGCTCAGTTGAAACCGAACAAAGTTTCGAATGTTGTAGAAAATGCCCTTGCCCTCCTCGATAGCAGCACTGTAAAATGTCGATATATTAGTCAGACTCTCACTCCATTTATGACTATACTTACATGATGGTGTGGAAATCGTCATTGACCAAAATCATATCCGCGGCCTCCTTGCACACGTCAGTGCCGTTCTTGCCCATTGCAATACCAATATCCGCCTTCTTCAAAGCCACTCCGTCGTTGACGCCGTCCCCAGTCATGCCAACTATGTTTCCGGTGCGCTGGAGGGACTTTACTATCTCCAGCTTGTGCCTCGGTGATACGCGGTAAAAGACGCTCACATTGTTGGCTACCTTGTCCAGTTGATGCTCGTTCATTTGGTCTATCTCCTGCCCAGACAGCGTCTGGTGGTGTATTGTATCAATGCCAATGAGATTCGCTAAAAAAAAAAAAAAAAAAAAAAAATGTATTAAAATCATAACAAGCTGAATTGGTCGAAAATATCGCTATATCAATACTGTATTAATTTTTGACGAAAAGGTCGACATATAAATCTTCAAATTTATGAAATATAACGGATTTTCAACATTTCTGAATCATTTTTGAGATATGGCCAATCTATATTATTTCAGAATTTCGATTTTAATTTTATGAAAATCGGACGACTATATCTTATAGCTGCCATAGGAACGATAGGAAAAGTAATAGAAAAAATTATAACTTCGTTGTTTTTCAGCGTATTTTCATCTACTCTGAGATATGAGCTTTTCATATAATTTTAGAATTTTGGTATAAATGTTATAAAAATCGGACAACTATATCATATAGCTGCCATAGAAGCAATCGGTAAATGAAGAGAAAAAGTAAAGATGGGAATGTAAAACTGTAACTGTCAAACTGTAAACATAATAAGTATAGGTAAAATGTAATAAAACTCTGTTTTGTGTGTGTTTTCTTCCTTCCTTCTTGTTAATTATTAAAATTATAATAATTATGTGAAAAACGGGCCACTTTTCAAAAAAATTTTGTGCCAAAACGGCTAAAGTTTGCATAATGAATTAACAACCATATAATATTACAACTTTTGAAACATTTTTGACAAATTTTGTATTGAAAAATATTTAGAGGTAGAGGATTTATAGGGAACCTCCCGAGTCGCCTTCAAAAAAAGTTGGTTTGTGGTGTACATCATAAATGTCCACAGAATCATCCGATCTAAAAAAAATTATACCTCATTCGTTAAAGGATAAGTGTCTCAAGGCATTCACGTTGCGTTTTTATTTTTAAAATTTTTTTCCGATTTTTTATCAAAATTGGAAGTCAAATCCCCGATTTTTTACTAAAAAATTAAGTTAATTTGTTAAATAAAAAATATAATAAAATTAAAAATTAAAAAAAGCTCGACGTGAGTACCTGTAGATTTATCTAATGAAGTTATGTTAAAAATTTCAAATAAATTGGTTCAGTAGATTTTGAGTTATCGTGTACACCTATTTTCAAAATGGCATTTTTCAGAATAACGTTTTAAACCTTGTGATGCTCATGCATTGAACACCAACCGACCTTCGTTTAACTCTTCATAACTGCGTCAGTTCTCTTATGATCGATGTAAAAATATTCTTAAGATATTGAGCCTTTAAAATAAAAAAAATAAAAAAAATTACGAATAAAAAAAAATAATTTACAAATTAATAGGCTTTTGAAAAATTGGTAGAAGAATAACAAATATAATATTTCGATTAGAATGTTCAGTTTTTTATTGAAAATTAAAGATTATGACTTTTTGTTTGGATGTACTATTTTAATTTCCTGCTTCGTCGCTAAGTGAGCTCAACCGGATGCAGCAGATGCAAAGCAACAACAACATCCCCATGATAACCTTTGTGAAAGTTTCGTCGCCATTTTTCATTATGGCGCCCGCTTATTTGTCTCGCCGAAATGTGCAGGGAGCCCATTCTATTCCAGGTGCCTTGTAGAATATTGTTCCAGTCAACGCGGGCACTGAATAGTAAACAGAAACAGCAAAAGCAACAGGGTGAACACAACGGAGATACGCGGCAAAATGAGCAAAAGGAAATTGTAATTAAAACGCATTCAGCCACTTGCATCCCCAGCTTCGTCTTTTGCCCGGTTTTCAGACAATTATAAGCCGCTCGTCACTGCCATTGGTGTTATTCAGGTACGGTCCTCCTCCGGCAAAAGATATCAAAGATGGCAAGCACCAGTATCGCTATCGGCCCCTAATTTTGAAGCGGTGATGAGGACTTTTATTATTACTAATATTATTATTTAATATTAGTTCAAAATGCTATCTGTCTTGCCGTTAAGGGGTTATATACAGTTGTGATAGATGAAAAAATATTTTTTTATTGCATATTCTTTAAGTAAGTAAAGTATTCTCAAGAGTATAGAGAATACTCTCACAAAAATTCATAACGATAGGAGCATTACAACCGAGGTTGTAGCTATTTATAGCGCATATTTATAGCTATTTATAGCTATTTTTATCGCATAGGCATTAAATGGCACTGTTGGAAAATAAATAAAATAATTTATATTTAATAAACAATCTCCGCTAATAGTGCTATATTGCATAACAACAGATTAATTTGTAACAAACGACAATAATAATAATAAAAAGCTTTCAATCTATTGTACCTATTGTATTGTATTGTATTGTATCTATTGTCTAAATTGTCGTTCGAAGTATACACATTTTGATATCAGTTTTGAACGATGTTTCATTCTGGAACTCGTGATTAAGCTTTAATTCATGAATGGAAAACCATTGTGTATCCGTTCTCGGTATTTTCCCTGCACATCACTAAGCTTAACTGCCCAGGAAAATATATCCATTTTAGACGAATACCCAGAGCGAAACCAAATGATGTCTATCCCCACCCAGCCCCAGTGTTTCTTCCTAGACGAACAGGATTCCTTGAATTAGCGTTGGAGTTTGGCTCCTTTACTAGTCGGGTAAAGTAAACAAGTAAAAATTGTAAAAAATACGAAACCGACCGGATTCAATAAAGCAGCAGAGAGAAATTAATTTTCCTTTACCTAATAAAGAGCACCCGAACAATGTTCGCAGTTGATGCAGAGGACGGGTCTCCGTCCACGACAGATGCAACTATGATGAGAAGGATGCAGATGACGGACTTGGGGTTGAACTCTCCTTGCAGTTTATTATTTTCACTCTTGTCTGCTGACTATTGACAACGATGATGTGGATTTCCTCGTTTCTTTGTCTCAGGATATTAGATGTGGTCCCACAACTTTGAAAATCAAAGAGGAATAGTCACCTGGGCATGGCTTCCCGTTTCGTCTTTCCACGTTCAGGGAATCATTTGAGCTATGTACACAAAAGCTTTATACGTATCCACATTTATTTCAGCAAGTAATTATTATAGATTCCTTCTAATGCTAAAATTTGTATCGTTTAAGTCCCAACCTTACAGTATATTCTTTTTAAATGGGAATACATTTCCTAATAAACCATGACTAACACGAACGACTTTGGGGACTAGAAATAGTAGAAACGATATTCACTGAATATTATTCAATGTTTTTTTTTATATGTTTACTGTATTTCCCGAGCTCCCTCTCTCTAAGAGGACTTCTACTTTTGTAAAAGGTAAAGCTCGTCCCTTAAATGAATTATCATAGGCATCTTTAACAACAAGCACCCTAAAGAGGTTATAATTGAACTTTGAGTCAGGGTAATCTTCGGAAACGGAAAAGAAACAGGATTTAGTTTCTCAGACATAGTATTAAATATGAGCAAAAAAAAAAAAAGAGGGGAGCTAACTTTGTCTAGCCGAAGTTTGTTACCTTTCCAATCCGCTCTTTTAAGCCAGGGTAAAGTCTCTTGTATTTAGTTCCAAATTACATTATTTAATAGTCACATCCGACGCACAACGCGCAAAACCCCGAAAATTTCCGTGTTTTAATATCGAGTGCATTTCAACTTAAAGCCACCCCCTCCAAACATGGGGATATATAAACATTTATACATACGAAAATATCATTTTGATCAAATTAAAAAAATGTTTATAAAATCATATAAAATATCTAAATCTCAGCGTTAAAATATACCTCATAATATAAATTATACAAATTATTAAATTTATAAAAGTAAATTACATTTACCCATAGATTTTCCTATACATTTACCTGCCATTTCTATGGCACATTATATTGTGATCCGATCTCTCTACCTATTAAAATGGCCTAATCTCAGAGTAGATAAAAACATGGCATTTCTAAAAAAATTTGAACCGTTCCAGAAAACGTGATTTGAATTTTATTTTAGTGAAAAACATCATCTGTATTTCTGATTGAAATTATTATCACAAGAAACGGACATTAACGCATGCCCAATTGAAAATTTGTTTCATTAAAATACTCCTTGGTGTTTCACTGAAACTAGTGTGTAAACAGCTCGCTGAGAAAGTGTCATGTTCGAATACTTTAATCAGTCACATTAGACAGAATAGAAATGCCCAAATGCTAAAAACAAAAGTAATATCTTTTTTCTAGCCATCAAATGGGCTGTTACGACTACGATGGATAATAAAACAAAGACTTTTTCCAAACGTAAATTTAAAAAGCTCCAAAACTGACTGGCTTGGGTAGAAACGGACAGATAGATGGACATGTCTAGATCTACTCGTTTGCTTATTGCAAACCTCCAACTAAAATTTTATTACTAGTTTAGCCAAGACACCACTAATCCCCAGTTACTTACATATCGCCAACGCTGTCTCCTGCGCATCTCCAGTTACCATCTTGACCCGCACGCCGCTTTGCATCAACATTTCGATGGACTCACGCACCAAGGGCCTTGGAGGGTCAGTAATGCCGACCAGGCCGCAGTAAATGAGGTCTTGCATGGACCGTCCCTTAGCTAGTGCTAGTACCCGGAGGCCTTTGCGCCCGATCTCGTATGCCTCAGCCAGAAACTCGGACTCATTCTGCTTCGTTAGCGGCACGGTCTGTGTGCCGAACTGGTACTTTGTGCACTGCGGCAGCAGGGTCTCCAGCGCGCCCTTAGCGAAGAAGATCTCCTCCTTGTTGTTGTTGTACTTGTGGATGCACTTGACGGCCATCATCTTTTGCTCAGAGCTGAAGGGGTACTCCTGGATGCGCACATAGTTCTCGGCTGTGGCGTACATGCCGTTCTTCATGGCCACTGCCACCAGGGCTCCCTCGGTGGGTTGACCCAACAAGGTGCCCTTCTGGATGTAGGCATTGTTGCAGACGGCCCCGATCTCAAGAAGGTTCGTGATGTTCGACTTGGCCATCTCCACATTGTTGCAGTGTCGAATGTGAATCTCGCCCTGGTCATTATAGCCGGCTCCAGTCACGTCCGCCATGTAGCCGTCGGAAGTGATGATAATCGTGGCCGTCATCTCGTTTTTCGTAAGGGTGCCGGTCTTGTCCGAGCAAATAACGTTTACGCACCCAAGTGTCTCTACTGTCGGCAGCTTCTTAACGATTGCGTTGCGCTTAGCCATCCGCATAACGCCCAGCGCTAACGTGACCGTGACTACGATGGGTAAACCCTCTGGTATGGCGGCCACGGCCAATGATACGCTAATGTTAAACATCTCCGAGAGCGGCTTGCCCTGCAGCCAGCCTAGCAGCATAATCACGCCAATTATGAGAAAGGAGTAGAAGCTCAGCTGGGCCCCCAGAATGTCCATTGACTTCTGCAACGGCGTCTTGGGAGCCTCCTCGGCCTGCATCATCTTGAAGACCTCGCCGAACTCGCTGCGCTCCCCGGTGCTGACTACTATGCCCTTCCCATTGCCGCAACGCACAAGCGTGCCCATGAAGGCAATGTTCTTCATGTTGCTGTGGTCTTTGACGTTCGTGTTGTTCAGTAGGACGTCAGTGATTTTGCGCGCCGGCTCCGTTTCGCCGGTAAAACTGCTTTCGTCAATGGATAGGTCCACGGCCTCAAAAAGCCGGATGTCGGCAGGAACGCGGTCGCCTACATTAAGGTAAACTACGTCGCCTGGGACTAGTTCTCGAGCCAGAAACGTGTCAAGTCGACCCTCACGCAGACAGTGGCACTCGGGCGGTACCAGCTTCTTAAGCTCTTCCAGGCTCTTCTCCGAGCGGTATTCCTGGATAAAGGCCACCGTGACCACGATCAGAATGGCTATGGTTATGCTGACGGCGTCGTCAAACTGCTTCATTATCACGGAGACCAAGGCCGAGCCGAGTAGCAGTAGGATAAGCGGGTTCTTGAATTGCTCAATATACTTTTTCCAGGTTGGGTCTTCTTCGACAAGCAGCAACTCATTGTGACCGATAATCTTTGCCCGGTACTTGGCTTCCGTCCATTTTAGGCCGGTCCGCACGTCGACCTGCAATCGTCCAGCCACCTCGGAGGCGCTGTGGGTCGATGACTCCGACGTGGATAGCAGCATTTCAGGTGTGAGGGTATGACCCGTCTGTCAAAAGAGAAAGATAGATTAGAGGTGTTTGTCAGAGTCGATTGAAACTTTTCTGTATATTATATTACCAAGTGCATAAACTAAGCAAAACCTATTTACTGTTTACTAGTTGTAAATTAAATTTGAAAAATGAATAATCTTATTTTCTTGCGAACATACCCGCTAGAAAGATACCTTAAAATGTAATGTGAATTGGTTGCTCAGAATGTTTTGTTGTAATTAGCATTCTTGCAGACGCACACTTGCATTTGCATAAGGATTTACATTTGCATTAGGAATTGCCCATATAAAGATGCTCAACATGGTAGCTGGAAGTCTGCCCAAAGCTAAAGGTAAAATATTTGGTAAAAAATGAGTTAGACTCCACTTTTATGACTATTTAAAAGTAGTATACCACAAGTGCAGAATATTGAACTGACACAATCGAATCGTTTTATTTTTTAACATTTAAAGCATTCGTTTCGGAGGTTTTGTTTCTTATTTGTTCTAATTGAAAGAGTATTTCAACTAAAGTTTATATATATATATTTGAATCCTTATCCTTAAGGGCACCTTTAAGTTAACTTTTCTAACGTGTTCCATGTTATCTATTGATTTATTTACTTCACCCTAAATGGGATCAAAAATGCGACATGAGGTCTGAAATTTGATACAACTTTTGCCTGTGACTTATAAAGTCATTTGTAACGTTGGAATTTTGAAACGACAATAATTTCTCATTAAATCCAAATTGGCCAACTTGTGCCATGGGGGATAAAACGTAATGCATTATTTAAGCACATGAGCAGTTGTTACCCACGAAAATAATCCATATATAATTGCAAAATAATTAATATAATTCTTTTTTGTTGATTTTGTTGCCCGCTAATTATAATTTATAATAATATCCACACAGCCAAAGGCATTGCAGAGCCCCAGACCTGCATAGGCAACAGGACAAATTATGTGCTCGGCAGCTGCATATTATTTTTTCAATCCTTTTTTTTTTTTTTGCAATCGCTTAGAATACTTATTTTAAACATAATAATTATATAATAATTACATATTATATGATTATATACCAATTCTTATAAATCTTTATTGAAGTTTGCCTTATTTACATAAAAAATACAGGCAAGCCTTATGTTGTATGCGCATGCAGTTTGCAAAGTAGCCCTGTCGTTCCCAATCTATAAACATTATTTTAGGGAATCCAAACAGGGAAAGGTTTGCCGATTTTTACTAAATTATTAAATGCTTCGTTTTTTATAGAATTAAATAAATTACTGTTTAATTATAAAAACTGCTTATATCTTAAAATTTTTAGGTATCAGTTAAGATATAATCTTATTTAAAAAATATTTCAGTCCGGCCTTATTTAAATAAAGAAAATCATTTTTAAAACTTGAAAAGAAACTAAATCTTTGTCTAAAGCATTTATAAGTAGCTATGCCAGTTTGCAGCTCTATAATGTAGTTCTCGTCTCGAAAGCGGATAATCCCTTCAACCTCTCAGCGAAGATACAAATTACATAAGCTAATTTGCAAGTAATTTACAATCCCGCCTTGGGCCATAAATTCTAACAAGTTTGGTCCGATTAACAATTCAAATGCTTTACCAAGAACTTCAACAATTCGCATTGTCCAAGTCCCGAGCTCTACTATAGCAACTTGAACTCCCCAGCCCCCGCGGAAAGCTGAATCGGATATGGACGCTCACAAAACGAATATTTATATGTGTACCTGATCTTCAATGTACACACAAATGGCATGTCTGGCTCTGAGCATTATTCAGGGCTTCTGTAAGGAGAGGGAACTTATAGATATCAGAAAACTACAAAATCACTTAGGTTCAAACCACACCAGCCAACCCAAACATACATGTGTGCAATGTACAAGTTAGTGGGGACCACTTACGTCAGAAGCATTGATGACTATCATTTTCGTGGAACAGAATCGACGACGGGGTGAATTCTTATCATTAGCGCGCGGGAGTGGATGCCTGCCGGAATGCACGCCAATCGATTCCGGCCTTTGACGTTCGCGCGGTAGTTTGGGTTAGTGGCTTGTTTTATCTGTCACGCTCGAGATGTCAGCATGAATATTAACGTTTGGCTACCAATATCTTACAGCACATGGGACGTGCGCGGGGATCGCGAGCCGGACTACCCAAAGCCACGGGACCCAGAGTTACAGCCGGGAAGATCTCCAGACTCCTCGTCACCCAGTAGGTATGCTTATTTTTTCCTTATAATATTTCAGCACTATTATTTATGGATAGATGGGCAAATCAGGAATGATGGCAAATTATTAAAACGGAAATCAAAACTTGGCCACAATGTTTATTGTGGCTCATTAGAATCCAGAAGCTGTCGGTTGACGCATACAAACATTCACAGTTGTGCTCAAAATAATAGCACTGAAAGTGTATTCAAGAAAAAACTATTTTTATTTTTAAAGATTCTCAGCATGGATAATAAATATTTAAGACTTTATTCTTATTTTTCAATGTAGGATAACAATGTTGTTTTTCTTAAGATCACTCTTCTCCCTACAGCACCAGAAAATTAATTATAGGTGCGACTTCGGTGTCCATGTTTGTACTGATAAAAAGAGTAACACCTGATCTAATTAACAAATTTATGTCTTATCTGTTTAAAAATATACATTCAAGTGCAAGTTCGCCTTAAGCATCTAATGATTTAAGTCTCGCTTCAGGTCATTAAAAGACCCAAAGCACTATCACACCACTGTAATTCGCTTGTCCGATAGACTGATCATGAATTCTTTCAACGAGACTGAGGGGCAGACGCGTGTAAGGGGAGATGAGTTGCTGGAGAACGGTGAGCAAGTTTTATTTTCTCATTTCTCATTAGGAAAACGATAACGTGGCCATGGATGCCCGGGCGCGGCGGTGGTTATGGTCAGCTTTCAATCTGAAGAACACACTTGAGTTTGTAAAACCGAAAAGTTATGATCAGTGCACTTAGCATGAAGTATGTCAAGTGGAGGTGGACGCAGAGGACGGATCGAAGTCACCGGCGTCGGAAGTTCGGAACACGACTAAACAAAAAGTTATCAGGTAGTTGTTAGGAAAATGAATTGATTGAATGCATGTAAATATGGCTGTGAATGTGGATGTGGCTGTGAGAGACAACAGATATGCGGACAGGTAAAGTAACAGCGGCAGATTAAAAAAACGATGGGCCGACACACAGCTCGACGATCACAACAACAACACAAAACGCCAGCAGCGACACAAACAATAACCGAGAAAGAACGGTAGAGACAGAACAGCAGTTGAGCGCCACACTTTCTTTTCACTCACGGAACAACTGGAAGGGAGGTTTTATTGATTGTGCCACATAGAACTGTTGTTTCGATTAACAAAACGCGGTGCCCTTGTTTCCTTTATTTGTTTTCTTTTGTAAGCTTTTGTGGCACTCACGCGCAAAAATGCAAGAACAATGCGCGATCTAGCGACGTGTACGATCTGAGAGTGAGAGACGCGCACTAACAGCACGAATGGTGCTGTTAAGGCGCACTATGGTCCAGCCAACCACTTTACTAGGCAAAAACACAATTAACACAATTTTTGTAAATAAAGAATAAATAAAAGAAAAGTATTAAAAAACGTAAATTAAAATTTTTAATTTTTTAAAAGGTAGATAAAGAGAGTCCCACCTAGTCCCAAACCAATTATGTGTTGTAGAGTAATTAGTTCTTGTTTAACAGCATATAGTGAGTAATGCCATATTTGACCACTTTTCTTGAATTCTGTAAAAACGTCTTTAAACTTATGCCAACTGATAAATATAAAAACAAAATTGATCAAATATAGTTATTCTAATAGGATACATTGTCAAAACAAAATTTAGAATGGTAGAAAGTTTTTATATCCCATTTTTTATTCAATTATAAAGAAAATTCCACTTTTTTCGATTTCTATAAAATTTTTATAATTTAGTTAAAATGACATAATCTTGAAGTAAACGAAGTTTCATGCATTTATCTGAAAATTTTCTAAGTAGTTTCTATGAAAGCTATGGGATATAGTTTTCTGATCCGAATAATTTTGATCCAATATTACCCTATAGTTAAAATATTACGATTGGTAAAACTTCAAACTGATATCTCTTAAATTGACAGAGTTATTAATTTTGACCAAAAAAGTGGTCAGCTTGACCATAGTGCGTCGCGAGACCTGAAGTTCAGGAGAGAGAAAATAAAGAGCGCGCTAATTTTAATTAGACTCTCATTGATGTACTTTTTTTGCATATGGATGTATGTATTTGTTGGGCTCAAGTTCAGACGATAATGATCGGATCCCACAGCTATCGGAAGTTTTCACTGGGATGTGATGGGTACTTATTGGAGGTTTCACTTACAATTGTTTCGCCACCGTTAATTACTCAATTACATGATCGTTATCTGCGGCGATCGCTGCTCGGGCGGTATTTTCGGTAAGCGCTCTCTATTGTATCGCCCTTCAATTAGCATATATGCTAATGTTCTAATTGGACCCCAGTGCGAGAACTCCTGATCGGATTTCCAAGTCACTCTATGTAAGTACACATGTACATAGTACATACATAAGTATGTATTTATAAACCTTTTTCTCAATCTTTGGACTTCCGGTTGAAATACGTTCGTAAGGATATATACACATAAGGTCAAAATAATGGGCTTTAATTTTTTTTTCGTTAAATATCGATATAAGGAATTTGATTAATTAATAAGACTACACAAAAATGAGGGCCTGAAAGTATCCACATTCGGGCGCCCTCCCTTCCTTGTAACTAAATTAGCTGTTTCCGACTGTGGTGAATTTTTTTTCTAATTTATGTATTTAAATGTACTAATAGTTTATAATATTGATTAATTTTATGCAAACAGGCAAATTAGTCATTAAAGTGAATGTTTTTTGGGGAAAGTCTCTCCGGGCCCCTTCTTAAAACTGCGGGGAACTTTTTGTTGTTGTGAGTAAAATATGAAAAGATATTGAAAGTTGTAAAATAT